GAGATCCATCCATTATTATTATTATTATTCTTCAGGATTTATACAACGCCAACAGTTTGCGCAGCGCTTTACAAAATAAAGGGAGACAGTACAGTTACAATCCAATTTTATTACAGGAGGGTTAGGAGGGCCCTGCTCATGAGAGCTTACAATCAATTATATCATTTTTCCACATAACATTAATGCAAAATGGGTTTCAGTTGAATCACATGTAGCAGACACGTGTGTTTAATATGTATAACTGATAAAAAGTCTATGCTAGATAAGTTCTTGATGATTGAAGATTATTTATCCTTTAATAGCCAAAGCATATGGTAAAAGAAAGCCTTAGGCCCCATTCACATTGAGCGATTTTTGCAGCGATATCGCTCATATTTCCACGCGATATCGCTCTATGTAGCTTCTCCAATCCATTTCAATGGAGCTTTTCACATCTCGTCGCTCAATAACGCTCAATATCGCTGGTAGCTTGTCGCTCCTACATGACCCTTTTTTCGAGCGATTTCGAGTGATATTGCTCCTGATTGCATACAGCCCAATAGGGACAAGTTGCTCAATATCGCTCATCGCGCAATATCGCTCAAAATCGCGCGATTTTCATGTCGCTCAGTGTGAATGGGGCCTAAGTCTCATTTCTTTGTTCTCACTCATCCTACCTTTTATCAGTCCCACAGCCACCCCTGGTTTAGAAAGCTATGTTTTACAGTTCACGCATACAGAAACTGTACATAGAAGATGCAGAACACGGCACACGCAGAAAAATACAGAGGGGGGAATTTATCAAAAGTGGAGCAGCTAAAATCTGGAGCAGTTGTTCATGAGAACCAATCAGATTCTCTCTTCTGTTTGTTCAGTTAAGATTTGAAAATGAAAGAGAGAAGCTGATTGGTTGCCATGCACAACTGCTCCAGTTTTTAGCTGCTCCACTTTTGATAAATTCCCCTCACACTGTTTTCAGGCTTATGTGTGCTAAATGCATGAGGGAAGGGTAGGCAACTTTAGCACTCCAGCTCTTGAGGCACTACATGTCCCAGGATGCATTGTAAGCCTCTGATGGCAACAGGCATGACTTCCAGAGGCAGAAGCTTGATGGGATTTGTAGTTTCCGCACAGTTGGAGGGTCATGGTTGCTTCTTTGGTGGTCTAAGGACCCGTGACATCATCATGCCTAATGCAGGTCCATGGGACGTGAGGACACTGAGGGACCTACCACAGCCAAAGCAGAGGGGGATAAAGTTGGGCGATTACTGCTGTGAGAGCGAGGATCAGGTGAGTATATCTTCTTTATTTTTGTCCCTAGACCAGCACAAGCACTTCAAGAACTCCTACTGGGCTACCTCTGTGCTGCAAGCGTTAAAGGGTTCCTAAACCCTCCGTTTTTTTTTTGCATACATCTGCTGCTAGCTGGAATAGATGACAATGTGCAATTAGGGCACAGACTGAGGGACAGTTTTTTTCATGCACATTTCTATACAGTGGGGGGATTTACTAAAAGTGGAGCAGAAGAATCTGGATCAGCTTTACATAGTAACCAATCAGTTTGCTTAGTTAAGGTGGCCATACACCTGCCGATTATCGTACGATAATCGCGGGAAATCCCGCAATCGGACGATAATCGGCAGGTGTATGGAAGGCGTGCGACTGTTTCTACTGTACGTTGGAAAACCAGCAGAAAATCGTAAGATTTTCGGTGGGTTTGTGGTGTGCTCGTAAGACAAATGCCGCACTGGCCGATGTGCGCAAGCGCACACTGCCCGCTCAGCATTGCAGTCATCAGAAGCCCTCCCCTCGGCGGCGTGGGTTTGCGATGATCGCAAGTACGATCTGCCTGTCCAAGATGGGCAGATCGTACGAGCTTTTAATTAGCTTACAACCATAAGTGGAAATACACGTTAGAGCTTACATGGAGATTTTAGGGATTGCAAATACTTCCTAGTAGAACTGAAGCCATAACTTTGTTTAGTTTTGGATAGAGTAAAGGAGGGTTATAACCAGAGGCGTAACTAGAACCTTCAGGGCCCCGGTGCAAGAAACTATGAAGGGTCCCCCCCAACCACCTGCCCCCATGGCACTGTGTGGTTAACAGGAAGGCTGCCGAGGTCTCCAGCAAGAGCGGGACCTCAGGCAGCCGCTTCAGTTAAAAAATGTAGTGCCGGTGTTCTGTCGAGCACGCCGACCCAGTATCTGTGCTTGCGCACAGACGGGATTATCAAGGAAACCGCCATTTATTTACAAAGTATTTCGTTTAAATCGTTAATTGTGACCGTTAATAATATGCCATCCATGGCAGTAAATGATGGACGGCATATTATTAACAGTCACAATTAACGATTTAAACTAAATACTTTGTAAATAAATTTCTGGTTCCCTCAATAATACTGGTCTGTGCGCAAGCACAGATGCTGAGGTCGGCAAATTCGACTATGTCGGCGTTCTTGACAGAACACCAGTATCTGCGTTTAGTATCGGGGCATTTTCACTAGTACTTGGGGAAATGCCCAGTATTGGCACTGGTGTATCCCTACTTAAAAATATAATGCATTGCTGGGACTTGTAGTCCTGCATAGTTGGTGCTATTCTGCATTGCTGTATGATCATCATACAGCTATGCAGAATAGCACCAACTATGCAGGACTACAAGTCCCAGCAATACCTTATAATAAAAGGTAGTGGGGTATGGGAAGTAGTATACAAGTGTAGTTTGTGTGGGGGGGAAATATCCGTGGGAGGGGGTCGTACACAGTGACCAGAGTGGGTATCTGTACCGGGAGAATGCCGCCGCTGTCACGGAGAGAGGGGAGCTAGAAGGGGCGCCACAGTGTCACGTTGGAGAGAGCTAGAAGAGGCGTAGCTGGTTGTCCTGGTAACAGGACGCTATACCTCTCCAGCGGCGTCTGTCTCCTCTGCACAGCGCCAGTTCGTCCCGCCCCCTAGCGCATGCGCCATGTGGGCATAGGGCTCCTAAGGCTTCACACTGGCCTGACATTACAGCAATTACAACAGGGCTCCCAAACATCAGCACACACACGCCACCAAGTTGGTCTCTAAGCAACCGCCCATGGCCACAAACGCTGCGGGCAGCTTGAGGGATCTGCGGGCTCTCTTTCTCTCTGGCCCCCCAACTGGCGGAATGTCAAAGCCCGGTCGCGATTGCTGCGACCCTGGTAGTTCCGCCAGTGGTTATAACCCATCAGCATCTTTCTGCCATCTGTGTGCCATTGGGGAGATTTCTCTTCACTTCCTGTCTCATAGTTTTGACAGAAGTGAGAGAAAAGCCCTCCATAGCCCTGGTTCACACCTAGGCGGCACCGTTCCTGCACGTTTGTACACGTGTTAGCAACATGAGTTTATTTGCGCGTTTTGCACATGAAAACGCACGTCTTGATTGGCAGCTCATATACCATTATGGGCAATGGAAGAACACAAGTATAAACAAGCAAAAACGCTCACGAAAATGTGCAACATGCTTCTGTTGCGCGTTTTTGGGCATTTCCATTTAAGTCTATGGGGAGCAAAAGCACTTTTAACTGCCCAAAGAAGCTCCTGTATCTTTTCAGGCGTCTGGCGTTTTCCTGCTCAGGGCCATTGAAAATCATGGGATTTCTTGTGTTGGGCAGTTAAAAGCGCTTTTTGAACTGCTCAAAAATGCCTAGGTGTGAACCAGGGCTTAAAGTGACATTAAACCCTCAGATTTTGTAACATAAACCAATACTGTAATGTGTGCCTTACTGTAATCCATGGTAGTTTCCCTTCTCTTTGCTGCTCTTCCTATTAAATCTGTATCTCTTCTCATGCTGGGCAGAACTTCTGTTTTGCAGCAGACTGCCTTGTCTCAGGAATGGATATATGGTGTCTGTGTATAGGCTTGTAACCTGAGCCAGCACTACAGGAAGAGGCACTCAGCTGCAAAGGGAAGTTCTCCCCAAGCATGAGAAGACATGAGGATTTAAAAGGAAGAGCAGCAAAGAGAAGGCAAACTACCATGGATTACAGTAAGGCACACATTACAGTATTGGTTTGTGTTAAAAAATCTGAGGGTTTAATGTCACTTTAAGGAAATCCCTGGTGGTCAGCTGGATCCTGAGTTTTGGGTTGTCATCAAAACAGGAAGAGATGATGAATCTTCCAGTTATTGTGTTCCCATTCGCCACCACAAATTAGGATTGTATGCACTTTTATTAATAATGGTCTCCTTTGGGGGAATGTATCAAAACTGGGGCAAAATCTGGAGTAGTTGCCCATGGCAACCAATCAATCTTCAGGTTGTTCAGTAAAGCTTTGAAATTGAACGATAGAATCTCAGTGGTTGCCATGCACAACAGCTCCAGATTTGATAAATGTCTATCATAGAGAGGGGGAATCTTCCAAATGGGGACTCAGGCAGCTATAAAATCCTGATGGGTGTTATCTCTCTGCACTCTATCCAAACAAAAAAAAGTTGGCTTTATTAGCACTTTAAGATAGGTAAAGGGGGAGGGGCTCTGCTACTCTGGTGTTTTACAAGTGAGAATAATGGGACAAGCACCTGCCTATACCATCGCCCCTTAGCACAGCCATGCAACTCGAAGACGTGGAACACCGGCTGAATGAGCATCCTGACCAGTGACAGCTAGGCGGCCAGCCCCGCCCCTAACACACTCCTTCCATATGACAGCCAGCCTTCAGATCACGTGATCTGCCAGCTTGCTGGTTAATTAGTTCACCGGTACCCCGCGCCCTCCCTATCATTCAAATCGTGTACGCCATACAACCTACGCAGCAGTAAAATACACCATAATGTGCACGGCTGGAAGGTGTCGGACAAATATGTCCCCCGGTCCATAAGCAGCCGGTCTAGCCGCGCCGGCGCCGCTCACATTCAAACAAGCTCCTGTGCCAAACAGGTCACATAAAGGCAACGCGGGAAAATAAATGAATTCAAGGAGCGACGCCCCGCCCTCTTTCAATCGTGTCCCCCTCCCTGTGTCTCTCCGATGGTACCGCCCCCTTTTGCTGATGTGCCCCATTGGCCACTTCTACTCTTGTCGCTCCGCCCAGGTGTCAGTGGCGCTGGTGTGTGCCCGGGGCCGGCAGAAAGTGCTCGGGGCAGAGGGGGAACGAGCCGGAACCGTTGGCATTGTGTACCCGCAGGTATCCCGCGATCACTGGGGGAGGGACGACTCGTAGTGACAGGGGTGTGAGCCCCGGGAATGATGCTGGTGCTGTGCCACTCACCTGCCGCCCGACTACCCGGACTCTAGAGAGCTGCGTGTATCCGAACAGTGCTCAGGATGGCTGCCAGATCCCGCAGGTGAGGGCTCCATGTCCAACGTGCATGTGTTTGTGTTACCAGTCTGGAGCAGGGCGAGGGAGTACGGTGACAGCTCCCTGTACCGGCTGCTGTGCTCTGACAGCTCATGTCATGGCTGTGGAACGCGGGGCTTTCCTGCTGCTGCAGGACTAGAAAGCCCAGCACGCCCGCCCGCAGCCAGTATGATGGCTGTTCATAACTGACAACTGACGTCCAGCCAACGTCTGCGACAGGAACCGTCCCCGATCGTGTACTGAAGCCTATGATCAGCATCGGTGTTAACTCACGGTGCTGTGATCGTCTATTACTAGCTGACTTGTCGGATCGATAATAGTGATAGAGATGTATGTAGCACGGTAAGTGACCCAGCTGATTAGAGGTGGACGTGACTGCAGCGTAGGTGGGTTAGGGAATTCTCCATACAGATGTGTTCAGAATGTTGGCACCATGGATTGTGGGACTACAAATCTAGGGACCTGCTGGGATCTGTAATAACACATCTCAGAGTTTTAGGATCCACTCTAAAATCACTAAAAGTACTGTATTTATCTTATAAAATATACTCCTGGCTTTTTTATTAACAAATATTTAATAGCAGCTTGCATTTTGTTAAATGTAAGGAAAGTCAGCGAAAAATAAATAATACTAATATATATATATATATATATATATCTATACATGTGTGTGTGTATAATGCATTTGTCATAGTGGATATTTTAGTGAATATTTTCTTTTCATCTTGGTGGAAATCAGGTTAGATATTGCTGGGTTATGTTTTCCAGGATTTTGCATAGTGTGGGAAAACCTTGGTATGATTGCTACAACTTAACATTACTTTGTAAACATTCATTTCACATTGTTGCTGAGATAACTTTGTTTAATAATTGGGATACAAAAGGTTTGACATGTAGCTTTATTTATGAAGAGAAGTGTAGCTGGCAATGTTTCTGGATTGGACATCCAGCAATAACAATTACAAATATACTGTATATGATGTATATAAATGTACTTTGATACATCGATGCATTATTTTTAGATATTATTCTGTAAGGTGTCTGGTATATGTTAACATTTGTATCCTCCCCAATACACTTAAGCTACTGACTGGCATCTGGTTCTTTTCACTGGTGTACACTGTGTTTGTGTAAATACATGTAGGATATTATTGTTGAGTCCAAACCCCACATTAATACATCCAATGAGATCTGTTGTCCCAGAAGCTGGTAATCCTAACAAGTACTGTTTTTCTGTACAATGTGCTTGGAGCCAGGGGCTAAACTATGACTATTAGACAAAATTTGGAGCTGTCACCCTTAGCCAGCAAGGCTAAGTAAAAAGTAGTTTACTTTAAATGAAACTTTGAAAAAACCCTTACAATGTAATAGAAGTCCTGAAGGAAGGTATATAGTTTATTATGACACCATGTATGATAGATAGATAGATAGATAGGCCTCTCATGTAATATTTTATTGAGATTGTTGTCAACAAGAATCAGTCCACAATTCCCCAATACTAGTAAAAACAAAAAGTGCTGCAACACCTGTATTGTATGTATGTATGTATGTGTGTATATAGATATATAGATCTATATATATATATTTTGTGTGTGTCCACTCTCTCTCTATCATACTTGTATTGTTCTTTCCTATTTCACTGTTTACTGGATATTTTGGGCTTGTCAATAATGCCATTTCAAAGGTTTGCATTCATTTTTTTGAAGTGTTTCTCACCTGTTGTTGCCATCTGTTATGCATCAGATTCATATTCACAGATTGTTCAGTCATGGATTACAAGTTATGGTTAAAAACATTTGTTTAGTTTAATGCTTTACTGCTCCTCAGCAGCGGAAGCTTGGTTATATGTTTTGTAAAAGGATTTCAGGTGCTGGGAAAAGCTTGACTGCACCACGAATGTTTGTTGTTAGTCCTATTTAAGCCCTCATTCAAACTGAGCATTTTGTAGCACTTTTTCTGCTGATAAAATCACAAAAAAAAAACATAACACGCAAACAAAATTCCCATTTACTTCTATGGCCTTGTTCACATCTGAGCGTCATGTCACCTTATAGCAAAACGCGCATCGCTTGAAGAGAGTATGAGCTTGTTTTTGGCAGATTCTGCGCTTCTTGGCTCCACAGACTTCAATAGAAATGCTCAGAAACGTGCGTTTGCTGTGTTTTTGTGTGTTTTTTTTTTCATTTTTTTTGCATGTAAAACGCGAGTCCATCAATTAACATCAATGCGCCGCAATCTGCTCATGAAAATGCCTTACTTTATATATGCGTGCAAAATATGCAACAATGCAGAAAACGTGCTAAAAACTCACTGAATTAGTGAATATTTCATGTCACTCAGGTGTGAATGCAGGCTTAGGGGTGATGATAGGAGACCATTTACCTACTTTGCATTTTAATGTAAGATGCCATATAATCACATCAGATTGGAGTGGTTTGCCCACATTAAGTATTTGTATAATATACAATATTTATTAATACAGTTAATATAAAATATGGGTAATTTACTGATTTTTAAAGCTGACAGAATCTGAAGCAGCTTTTTATAGTGACCAATCGGCTTCCATCTTCAGTTTGTTCCGCTAGAAGCTGATTGGTTGTCGTGTACAGCCGCTCTAGATTTTGTCTGCTCCAGTCTTAGTAAATTCCCTTCATGGTGATGTTGCATGTGATCCTGTTTTATTGCAGTGGATTTTTTCCATGTGTTGGCCAACAAGCTTCTATGAAACTCTATTCTTGCATCAAGCTGTTTTTTTAAACTTGAATATTGATATTTATTGCTTAGAAAAACTGCTACAAAATCTTGTTCTGTGTTGTGGATTCCAGCCACAGGCTAACTATTTTGAAGTGTTCGTTCATTTATCTTCAGACAAAGGCGTTGTGTGAAGATGTCTGATGACCTGTCCAGTTCTGTACATGGAGATTGAGGAAAGAGATCAGAAAAGTTCTTTCAATAACGTCTTGCGCTTTGTATATTACTGATGATAGAACATTGACATGTTCTATTCTCCAGAATGTGTATTTATCATTCAGGGGAAAAGTGATATGAATGTCTAATTGTCACTTAACCTCCCTGGCGGTCTGATTATGCAGTATTTTTGCATGCCAAAGCGGTACATTATTTAAAAAAAATGGTCCAGTAAATGGGAATTCTAGGGGCGCTGCCCCTAGAATTCCCATCCGTACCACAGTCAATAGAGCACCAAGTTCGCACATCACTGAGCTCGCAGAATCGTCGCTGTCATCACTTTCAGTGTCTGATGACAAATTTCCCCACGAATCGCTATCGCTCAATTCTACAAGTGATTCCAAATCACTATCGCTGTTTTCTACCTGGTCTAAAACCGCTTTTGATCTAAAGGGACGCTTTTTGGATGCCATGGACGTTCTCAAGTTTCCAGGCAGAAAGAACAGTAAAAGTGCAGGCAGGGCACTGGACAAAGCTCTAGGGACAAAACTGAAGTGAAATGGTTTGATACATAAGTGTAATTATAGCAGATTACATTGTATTGTGTGTATTCTGCATTTTGCATGTTTTCACTTTTGAATTTCCCGCCGGCCATGCTCCCCCCCCTAGGACGCCGAAAAATAAACTAAAAGTCGGATGTCGGCATCGGCCAGGCGCACACAGCAGAGGACACCGCGGGCTCGTAGGGACAAGGTAAGTGACACTTTTGTGTAATCCCGAGTGTGGCTCGGGGTTACCGCTATTGGTGCTGAAAATTAACCCCGAGCCACACTCGGGAATACCACCAGGGAGGTTAAAGTAGAACTGTTTTGGATAGAGTAAGGAGCTGTATAACCCCAGTCAGATTTTTTGCCATCTGTGGTCCATTGGAAAGATTTCCCTTCACTTCCTGTCCAACCACAACAGGAAGTGAGAGCAAATCCCTCTGAAGTGAGGAAAATCCCTGGTGGTCGGCAGGATCCCCAAAACTGGTGTCCCCATTGGAAGATTTCCCATCTATTCCTGTTCTGGTGACAATCCCCTATTTAATATTTCAGTGATGATGGTCACCAGGACAAACGGAGAGGGTGAGCCTCCCTAATGGGAACACAAACAGCAATAAAAAGAAGTTTGAGTCCCTCCCCAATCTACCAAAAGCTAAAAATACAGTTTTGGCTTCAGCTGCACTTTAATGAACGATCATTTTTCCTATTTGAGTTGGTACCATTACATACAACCAGTGGGTTCATCTTCACTGGCTGTGTCTCCCAAAATGTTTTTTTTTTTTTAGACATAAAGTGAATACAAACGTTTCAGCGTACATAATATATTCAGGAGTTAATGAAAACAGAAAACAATTTCTTATTTTATTAGCAAGGGTCCTGTTCAATGTGGCCCATGGCAAAGCAAAGGAACCTGTGGTACTGATACCAGGACACTGTTCAGGTAGAGTCACTGACCGGCTGGACTCTCACCCTCTGGCAGAGACCATGTGACCAGTGACTGCACTCTGTACATGACAATCTCGACACACCTTCCTGAACACAACGAGCTGATCACACATGTTACAATCTCCTTTTAGATTTACCAACAACCATGCAAAGTCTGGCCCTCCAGCTGTTGTGGAACTACAAGTCCCATGAGGCATTGCAAGACTGACAGTTACAGGCATGACTCACAGAGGCTTATTGGCATTTGTAGTTAAAGCTCCGCTAGAGGGCCGGCGTTGCCCACCCAGATGTACAATTTGGGCCTAGCTGGGTAATCCATGCACTTTCCATCCAATCAGTTAGGGAAGGCCCTCATAGTACATGGTCATGGTAATTCTAAAGGAGATTATAATATACTTTGCCAGCTTTACCAATCCTTTTAACTTTAAATAAACCTGCTACAACACTGTGTAAAAGTGTAAACTTCAGGCACAAAACCTTTCCTTTTAATATATATTTCTCAATGGATATTAGAGAAATATACATCCACTTTGTATGCAACAAGTGCCTTTGCAAACCCATATACAGTAAACTCCCCATTATCCGGCTC